TCTTAATCGGACGAAAATTAGTAAGGATTTACATATATGATATAGCTAGCTAATCGGACGAAAATTAGTAAGGATTTACATATGTGATATAGCTAGCTAATCGAACGAAAATTAGTAAGGATTTACATATGTGATATAGCTAGCAAATCGGATGAAAATTAGTAAGGATTTACATATGTGATATAGCTACTTAATCGGACGAAAATTAGTAAGGATTTACATATATGATATAGCTAGCTAATCGGACGAAAATTAGTAAGGATTTACATATGTGATATAACTACCTAATCGGACAAAAATTAGTGAGGATTTATTTTTTTATAATCATATTCATTTATGTATTTAGTCTTCATCTTTTTCCCTTTCTCTTCATATTTATTCTTCTTGTTCTGTTTGTATAAATAATTTGTTTTGTACATGTATAGTTACGTGATCTAGTGGAAAATCTCGTGCTAAGAATGATTATTTCACTTAGGTGTTACAATTAAGTATTTCTTGTTGTTATACCTCATGTACATATAAATGACAACACTAACTGTTCATGTCAGGAGACAACGAGTCGCTCAATAAAGTAACATATACGGTATTTAAAAATGGCTGCCTGTTGACACTCAAAAATGGCGCCATGTCAGTTTGAGTGGAGGAAATTGACTATCCTCGTACATTACCTGTTAATCAGTGTCATTTAAAGGTATCAATTCGAATCAGGAAGCTTAATTCACATCTACGTATACAATTTTATATGTATGCAGACTGTTTCTTTCCAGAGTCAAAACAAGCTGTAAATAAGAATAACTTGTCAGACTTATCGAACTGTCTGGTCTTGTAGAGCAAAAATCCTGCGAGGATCGGAGCCTGTACTGTAATGACAGGAAAGGTATGGTATATTAGTCCTTTCATGTGAACAGTAATGTCTCGATTACTACTAGGCTACATACACAAGTAATATATATTTCTATTAAATTTTTATACATATATCACTATATAGATTTACTAATAAAGTAGTTTTCTTCAACATGGTTTGTTCTTTTCTCTATGTAGATTAGGCTGTTTTCGAATAAATCCATGGGATGTGGAAACACACGAACAGCGGCTGCGGCTGCTCACATAGTACCACAGGTTTCTTCCATTGAGGAGACGAAAGACGAACCCAGCCCTTCACCTACTGGACAACACCGGTCTAGTGTGGCCCGTGACGTCTGGGGGGATAGTCCTTCCCAAAGGAATAATAAATCAGTTAATGATGGCTGGAGCGATGATCGTGGTAAGAACAGTAAGTACTCATTAAACATACTTGGAATGGTGGTTCTATATGTATGAAGTATGATTAGTGACATCAAGAGGGATAGGGGAACTTTTCACAAATAATTAGTACTTGTTGATGTCTGGAGGTAAGTAATAGTTCTTTTACAGTAATTCGTATGTCAGTGGTACCTGAAGGAACGGTTCAATCAGTAGCTTATAGTTAAAAGGAGGTGTTTTCACAGTCAGTTAATCTTATTTCGACATATGGGTTTTCAACAAGTACTATATACACACACACAATCCATGCTTCAACTCTAGCAGATTTATCTTATTATTAACTGACTATTTGTTTCATGTGGAAGGACAATCTCTAAATACACTTCGAACTAACTACTTGTTTTTTGTAAAAGGAATACCACTAAATGACTACTTACTTCTTTTAGGGAAAGACCATACTTCCAGTGATCATCACAGTGTTCCTACATCTTATGGATGAACCACATCTCAAAACCACTAACTAACAAATAACTTAGTGTGAAAGAAACACCACTAAAATGGCTATTTACTTTTTTATATGGAAAAACCACATATATATATATATATATATATGGTGTAATCCTATAAGAAGTAAATAACCTTGTTGTGATATATGGGGTATGGATTTCATAACAAGTAAGAAGTGTACATGTCATATATATATTGTGAAATTATTATACTTTAACAAGTCAAAAATCTGTTCCTTGTGCATCGAGAGATTGTTACCATTAAGTGCTGTGTTGCAGTGCTTATCCACATTCCCTAAGTGATTGTTGGGTATATTCTTCCGAAAATATAACAGTAGTCAACTAATAATTTCCAACAAAAGTCTTTGAGAGCGAAGTGATCTGTCTAAAAAAAAAGGGGCCTAAAACTAACTTTGACAGGGGAAAAAGTGGGAAATTTGCCCTATTAAATTACCAAACTGTTCTTTGCTAGATCTAATATCTTTCTTTACAAGAAATACGCGTAAAGTATTAATTATTTAAAATTCCTTTAGAAACTGAAAAACGTAATTTAAAATTATGCGAACGTATTGATAAGGTAATACATAGGAAGTGGTCCCTCCGAAATACAGGAATATTTCTTGCGGTATGATAAGCTTATATGTTGAGATGGTAACATAAGAGCGATAATCTGACAATAATGCTAATTAATTATCTTTAACTTTTCTGGGGTATTGTTGAGTAGTGTGTATGAGTTCCGTCCGCAAGAACAGCAAAAGTAATATAGTGAGTAATACCACCATTGGGGGCTTTCTCATCAGGTTTAATATACAAAAAGATGATAATGTATGTTGTCAAACCCTCGTAGAATCTCATTATCGGCTTTTGATTCCCCAGTCCCATATGACAGTTTTGATATATCTTACATATTTTGGGCGGTTGGTTTCCACTACAATTATCCTCCAGAGAATTTGTTGGTTTGTAATTAAGCACAAAGCTACACAATGGACTATCTGTGCTCTGCCCACCATGGGTATCGAAACCCGGTTTATAGCGTTGCAGGTCCACAGACATATCGCTGCGCCACTGGGGGGGGGGCAGATAAACAATAAACTAGATTAACATGGTTATTGAGTAAGTAGAAACTGTTCGTATCATGAACACTCTGTTACAGCTCTTATTAAATGTATCTTATTAACTAAATTGCAAAAACAATTCCAAACACCGTTAAAAAAAACAAGAAATATGGGTATTGGATACCTTGGTGTAAGGTTCGCGTGAGCAAAAAAATAAAATCACTGTTACAAATATCGTTGAAATATAATGTGGGTCTCCACAATTTTTAAATAAAACACTTCTACACAGTTATTTAATAATTCGAATTTCATTAAAATAATCTCCATCACGCCGATATTCAAGTCATTTTGATTTCAGGAAATGTTATCCGAATATAATATAAAATTTCTTTGTGAAACATAATCATTAGAATTATTATATATTCATACATGCATTAAAGCAATGTTCTTAATAATCCAATTTTTAAGTTTGCACTGAGATATAAAATGTAATTATAAAAAAAAAGGTTTTAAAACATTGTAATGTAATAAATAGCTGTCATACCTATTGGAACTTTTTGACAGCATTTAATGTGATTGAACTATTTAATTTCTAATCATCTGATGGGTTCACTTTGGTCAAATAAAAAAAATATTTTCATTGACAAGGAAATGGACGACCACTACTTGTGAAATACATAAACACCCACATTTTGCAACATTGAGTAACTGACTAAAACATAACTGAAAAAAATTGGTTAAGAATCCTTGAGTTTTATCAATTTATCTTGAGGCAAAAAACGATATCTGATATTCACAGAGCGTATGTGTACGTTGGTAATGTATCAACGCTTTAAGCTAACAATGATTTATTGAAAACTTTTTTATGGGAAGTTTGTGAGTCATTTCTTATGTCAGATTATAACTTCTACCTAAAATACATAATTAACTAGCTATTACGTTGATCATAAAGACATGAGAAAGATTTTATTCTTTGCTATCTTAAGTCCCCTTCCTTTCCAGATGTTCTTCTACAGAGGAGGAAATTCACTTTGTAATAATTTATGTAAGCAAAACGCACGGAAGATAAAACGAATTATAAGATATTTTGCATTCTAATTAGTCTGTGAAATCAAAACTTAGATGTAAAAAAAGAGGCATAATTATTTTTCTAAATTATCTTAGAAATATATTGTACGAATAACTTGGTCGTGAAGTAATTTGTCAATGTTTTATTTCTTTAAATATTTGCATAAGGGTTACACTTACCAATATAAACGAATGACCCCTTAATATTCATTTGACATGCAATATTTTCTCGGCCGCATGTTGCTATGACAACCACTCGAACGAGTGGTACAACAAATCCGGTAATTCCCCACAGTTTCGTTATCTAAAGGAAACTGACTTTGGAGTAATGAAAAATCTATGACCATTTAATACATACAGAAGTCATGATAATTTATTTTTTAATTGTGGATAACATTGCGTCAACAGTTCAGAGATTATAGTACCATTATATGTTATATGCTACTGTCGAAGTCAGATCGATTTTCAACGTTTACAAACATGTCAATCATGATCAAACTATTAGGAGTTGTTTTTGTTGTTTATGTTAACGATATAGTTACTATAACAAATCTGCTTAAAATATTAACAGTGCACAGAATATTTCCTTCAAGTATTGTTATGCATCTAATTCTAGTTTGTCTAAGGCAATAGTTAGTGGACAGAGTAAATTAGAAGGCTGTTATTATTATTTTTTGTTACGATAAATAAAATTATATCAAGGAGAAATTGAAATGACGTCGTTTGGGGCATGGGTCGGGCTTTGGGAGTCATGTGTCTATCAACTCGATAATGAGGGAATAGAAAAGGGTGGGATAATTCCATCCACTGTTCTTGACGGGTTATTCAAAGTTGAATTGACTGTTATATAAATTAGATGGAGAATGTTAAAAGTATTCTTTAATGTTTTCAACTTTTTCACATTTCTGATTTTCTTGCTCAACCATAAAGTCGAGTAACAATTTAATAATTCTGTTCAGTCTTTGGTGTCGGGTTCTTTTCACTTCCATTTCTATGGAAAAATAAATGGATAAAAAAATTGAATTTCTTTGTTTTGTATTGCTGATTTTTTTACCTAGAATTTTTATGTTATACATATTTATATTACATATTAATTTAAGGATAACAAGAGACCTGTTTGTCCATCTAGACCTTTCCATCCATTAAACTTTAAAATTAGAATAAAACACTAAAAACCAGCCGTTATCCTCCAAATATTTATCAAGCCTTCTCTTAAACTCCCTTAAATTAATTGCATCCACCACATCTGAGCGCAACCCACTCCAAAAACCAACCACCATTTTTGAAAAATAGTGTTTGCGTGGCTGAAGATAACCTCAGTGGCTCAGCGGTAAGTTCTGTAGACTTATGACGCTAAAGATCGGGTTTTGATTGCCTTGGTAAGCAGAGCACAGATAGCTCATTGTGTCGTCTTTTGTTTAACAACAACCAAACAACTTAGCTGAAGATGACTCCTAGCGTGTGAAAATTTATATTTTTGTCCACTAGTCCTACTATTCTCATCATTAAGTACGAAAAAAGATGATGCATCAACACTATCAATTCCGTTAACAATCTTAAACACATCAATCAGATCCTTTTTAACTCTTCTTTTTTTCATAAAAAGACAATCTTAGAGAGCTTAACTAATAGATATATATATAAAGATAGGGGGGTACACTAAAAAGAACTTTTTTTTTGTCTTAAAGGTAGCATCGAAGTGGCAAAGTTGGCGCTGACTCAAGAAAAACTTAGTTGTAAAAATTTACCAGCTTCTTACAAACAGAGTATATGGGCAGGAATGACAGAAGTTCAGCTTGTTGCTCCTTCGAATGATTAAGACATACTATTTATTATGTAAATCTAGATAGAAAGAAATTCATTGTATTTATGTAGTGCAAAAGAAATATTACAATTCCTGAAGGTTAAAAGAATCTTTAGATATTTACAAGAAAGATAGAGCGTATGGTTAAAATCAAAATGAACCACACAAAAACAGTTCTTGTCAATCAAGTAATAACTAAAGCCAAAAGACATGTACCAACTTCAAATTATTATTTTTTTCTTTGACTGTGTTTAATAAAATGTGTTATTTGTTGTTTGTTTCGTCCATCCTATTCGCGCAAATAAAATGTTGCAGTAAAGATGCAAACACGTCGAACATCCTGCCATCTTTCGGAGAACATTCAAAGTAAAAGTGAAACACCATGTTTACAACGATGGTTATTATAGGAAACGAAAATGCGTTATTTTAGTTAAATCATGAAAGGAACTTAAATGGAATTATAGAATGTAATAAATACATTTATTGTGCTATCTTGGTAAATGATTACAATGATGAAACTTTATAAGGTGCCACTGCTTTAAAGGGAACTGTGGAATGCGCTGCCTGTTTTAATATACAAGACTTGGTGAAATATATAGTAATGTAAAATAGTGCTCACATAATCCGGACAAAGTCGTAATGTTCTTGTAAATATAACAAATCATTGTTGTTGTTGTTTTTACTACCAGTGATATAGCTATACATGCAAACGCAGCAACGTAGAAATAACAAAAGCAATCTAATACTTACGATACAGTTGTAGTGATTGGATGCCATCCGTTCTTATTGTTAGTAGCCTGAATTATCATTTAATTCTTATTATTAATCAATTACGTTTTATGCTAGATATTAATTATTAAATCGTATCTGTGTTTTGGATGCTAATGTGCTACCTTCTTCAGAGAAATCATGTGAGAACTGTTTGGAGTGGTAGGATCCGGAAATCCATTCTGAGTCTTGTTATTAAGAGTGGTATTCACTCAAAACTCTTTAGTGATTACGTATTTGTCATGTTTACGTTTACCGCTATAACCAAACTCACTGGATAACAAATCTGGTGTCAGGAAAGAAAACAAATCCATAGTTGAAAACGTTTCATGAGAGTTAGCTATGTTTTTACTGATTTCTATGCTTAACTGACTGAGTTTATTATTAGTTACATGGATGTAAAAAGATTTTTTTATCTTTTTTTTTCTCGTGTGTGGCTTATAGCCATTATGTTTTTGTTATTCCATTTTACTGTATGGCCTACTTCCCTGACGTATTGAGCTATTGCAGATAGATCAGTATAAGAGAGACTTGTGTGTGTGTGTGTTATGCTCCTGAATTTAAGTTTTGTTGGCCTTTTAAAATTGTTTCTTCAAAGCACATTCACATAGGTTGTTGTAAATTGTATTTTGCTCTTGACTGGATGGTTTGTTCTGTTCTAATTGTGATGTTATTGTGTTGTGGCTTCTGAATAGAGTTCTGACTTTATGTTGTATGCATATCCCTTGTATGTTTTCGGAGTGCTTTTGCTTGTTGTTTAGCATGAAGTCGCACAACAGGCTCTCTGTACTGTGCTTACTGCAGAGATCGAACCTGAATTTTAGTGTTATAAGCCCTCAAACTTACCGCTGAGCCACAGGGGGTCATTTTTGGAAGAAACCTTTGACATCCAGCAACATGGTTATGTGACCGTAATATTCTTTCTGCTTATTCTTGGTACTTATATTCTTTTTTCTTCTCTTTATCAAATGCTTAGGAAATCCATTTACCAAGCGGTTTATGGTGATCTGTTTTCCTTCCCTACTCCCAGTATCTTCTGAATTATAACCTTGTTCATTCTTAAGACTAGACAGCTTATTACGTCCCTTTTTACACTGTTTGTGTGTTTGAGTTATAGTCGAAGTTTCTGCTGGTATCTGAGGCTCGCTCTAGACTCGCGTTTTTGTAACGATCACGTCCAAGAACAACGTGATTAATCCATATATTATATTTCGCCGCTATTCGACTGATTCATTAACTCCTAAATGCATTGTACCTTAATATTCGCCAAATCGGTATTGCCAGGTGCAACTATGAATTGTAAGCGAATTTTGCCACAAGAGTAAAGTAACAGCTGACATCCCATAGTAGTAAAGTTCACTAGTCTCAGAAAAACTGATTTATAATCACATTATTCGAACCAACGTTCAAAATCAAATCATCACTCAAACATTTATGTTCATCTAAAGGCATATTTGCATATAACGATTCAACATGAAAGCTGGCACAACGAAACTATTAAACTTCAGTTTCTGTATTTCATTATAAAACTCAAAACTATCTTTCAATATATACCCATTGAGGTTAACTGGCATGTAAGCTACTTCTCGTCTTATAAAATGTCGATGTCTTCTTAGAATTTCCAAATACGTGTCCTTTCATTCTGTGAATGAACACTTCTAAGAAAGAAAGATTTACCCAAATTCAGCCATGCCTACAGTTCTGGTTTGATGGTACAAATCAGACCACTCGACGAAAATTTTGATAACGAAGGGTCAGCGAAACAATCGGATAACAGTCGAACTACCTTATTCGAGTTAATTCAGGAATATGAATTTATCTTTTTGTGATGTCGACTGTATAGTCAGATATTATATATTCAGATGGTTCATGAATTCTACAATCTTGTCTATGGCATATTGTGAAGTATCGTCAATATATCTTTGCAAAATCTTGGGTCTCCGAGCAGCTGTTTTGAGGGTGCTTTTTTCGAAATGCTCCATTTTTGCAATTACTGAGTTCTGGTAACAGAGATTAGCCTCCTTGTTTGTTGTATTTCTCTTCATGCTGGAAGTAAGTTCTGGTAGTGAAGCTTACTTTCTGTGGGTTCTAAAAATCCACCAACATGTTTTATTTGTATGCCAACTCGTGAAAATGAATAGAAGATTCTGGCGACGGAGTGTTGCCCGGGCTGTTATATATTGCCTGGATTGACAAAACACACTATTTTCACCTTGAAATCCTATATATTGGTGGCCCTCTTAGGGTAAATTGGCTAGTCAATAGAATCTAGGGTAAACTGAACACTTTCACTGCTGTCTTTTTGGGTGCTGTGATTTGTTATAGTAACCACAGAACCTTGGCGTCAGTATAATGTCCTCTTGTAGGACTTCATGGTGCGTGGGGTCAGTGAGCAACAAAATTTGATTTGCAATTATGATTATCACAGCTTCCAAAAACTTGGGTGAGACTTTAAAGAGGTGAAATCATAACAGAAGCTAACCAGTTTAGTGTTGAACACAGACTCATTATTATGAATAAAGATTTGTTTAGTCGTTTTCTCTTTGCTGTCCGTATGCAACTTGTGTTTTGCTTAACAGTTATGAATCTATGTTTTGCGGATACATAAATTTATTTCATGGAGAATAGTATATCAGAATACCTTAGAAAGCTCCATTTAAATATAGATGTAAGTTAGCAGAATTAAATCTCTATTTACTATTTTACCGTCTGAGAAATATACTAGTTATTATAGCAGTATATAATCAATTTAAATACAATGTCATAAAAATGACTTTTTAATGTGGTGAGAGACCTGTTAAAAATATTGTTGCTATGAGAAATAGAAGAAAACAATCAAGAAACGAAAAACCAAAAGCAACAAGCTTCGTAAGTGTTCGTTACTTTCTAATTATTTTAAACAAAACTCTAATAGTATCAAAGCAGAATTCCAACCAGTGGAGACTAACAAATAGAAAACATATTTCTCGAGACTCTTTAGTGATTACGTATTTGTCATGTTTTCGTTTACCACTATAATCAAAATCACTGGGTAACAAATCTGGTGTCACGAAAGAAAACAAATCCATAGCTGTAAACGTTTTACGCGAATCGTAAAATATATTTTGAGAAAATTTCTATGAATTTGAAAATATGGAATAATGACTCAAAAATCAATAATTATAATGGCAAAATAATTGATTGATTGCACAAAAAAGAAAAAAAGAACCAAAAAGGTTGAAAGATTTTATGAGATACACTCGTTTTAATAAATGGATATTTTTTTATTGATACACCAAAAATATGGTGTGTTATGGCTCAAGAAGTACACTTTCTATTTACCAGAAACCAATACGAGGCCCGGCATGGCCAGGTGGTTAGGGCGCTCGACTCGCAATCACACCAAACATGCTCGCCCTTTCAGACGTGGGGGCGTTATAATGTGACGGTCAATCCCACTATTCATTGGTAAAAATGACTAGCTGCCTTCCCTCTAGTCTTACACTGCTAAATTAGGGACGGCTAGCGCAGATAACTCTCGTGTAGCTTTGCGTGAAATTCAAAACAAACAAACAAGCCAATACGAGAATAGATGATGCACCAGCTTGAAATGTATAAAACTACAAATATCTAACGAGAAGTTTATGAAACATAACTGTTATAATATGAGGTTTTTTTTATCAGTACTTGGAAAAAATTATATATTATAATTAAATAACTAATTTTTGTAATTGTGGTATCGGAGCTAACGCTGTGAGAAAAGGTGATACAACTATTTATAGTATAGTATATTTATGGTATAATATTATTTATATGGAAAAAACAAACAAACTTCAAATGTGGTATTGTAAGTAGCAGTTAGTGAGATGATGTTCAACAATACAGTTGAGTTGTCTTTTCTTGTGCTGCCCTCTAGTGCACCTCATACTATTTCAAGCAGATAGATGACTACAAACATTCATTCGTAATTTCGAATGATTAGCTAGGTAGACAAAAATTTCTAAAAGTAAAGTTTTATGTTTATTCCAAGTAACCCACTTATAATAAAAGAAAAGTATTTTCTAGTTTTAATCAATTCCTTTGTGATCTTAGGGTCTCCTATTGTAGTAAACAAGCATACTAGCGTGTTTCTCTTCCTTTTCTTAATTAGTCTGATGAACATTTCCTGTTTGCTAAGAATTTCTGACACATACGCGTGTTTCGGCGTACATATAAAACTAAAAATAAAGACTTGGCTATGAAACATGATAAAATATTCTCATACAAGTTACTTATTGTTCTGGACAATTTTCCTTTGGAATCACATGCCCTATCTCGAGTTAAAGATTACTTTTGTATACAAAGTTGGAATATGTAGATGTTAGCAGAAGCTTTAGCCATTAATGAGTCTTGTGATATCTCGGGGATATCCTCTCTGTTTTAATTTTTGGATGATAAAGAACGACATGGGTAGCGTATTCACACCTGAAGAATGGACACTATTGTATTCAATACATAATAATTGTGCTCTCTCAGTCTGGAGACAGTCCATCATAGAACATCTTGGGAACAAGAAAAGATAATTCGATTCACTCTTTCTGTGAACAGAAGGAGCCGTTAGTTGTAAGGTGAACTCGTTTACTTTGATTTTATTCATTGAATAAAGATTACTTTGCAATTTCAGTACATGTTTTTAACCTCTTTTGTATTATTTCATAAGTTTCCAGTTCCAGTATTGGAGTCTTCGATATATGCAGATGAGTTTTCAAAATTAAATCACGATTGTTTTACGAATAGAGCTTGTCTAAACATTAAGAGCCCTGTCTGGTAAAGTCAAAACTGCCATTAGTACGTAGCAGTGGTTTCTCAAAAATGTTCAGATAATTACTAGGAACTAAGATTTAGATTGCAAGAATAAGATAGAAATGGGTAATTAAAAATAAAATTTCAAGTAAACTTCCCTCCAAAATTACAACCAGCTAGTTAGTTTTACGCGATAGTTGCTCGGTGATACCACTACCATAAAATCACCCTCGATATCAGATTTCAATTTTTACGTCATTAGGGTAACTATCATGCCTATAGTCGGCTATAGACAGTGAGTGGTAATGGGATCTGAGACGTTATTGGTTCTAGCACCACGTTCCTAACCCTTTATTGAATCTATAGTTTGCTTTCTAGTTTTACGTGTGTTGTTTTGATTATGTTTGATAGACGGAATATTGGATACTTTGGCCGCAGACATTTTCACTTTAAAATGTCACCATTTACACTTTTCTATAAATAGTATAATTTTACGTTGTTTATTACAGTTTTGTTGGCTCGATCATTTATTTGATGGCGCGTATACCTATAATAAAAACTTCGTATTTTTACATATATATATTAGATAGAATATAAATTTTACAACTTAATTAAAAACAATGCTGTTCATTGAAATATTTAAAAAAAAAGACGATTATTTTACTTTCGTGATTTATTTCATAAATTTTTAAGCAATATTAATTACATATCAGCCTTCATATTCATTTGGTTTTACTAAAGCAATAAATATTACTAAACTAAAATAAACGAATAAAATTATGCTAGAAAACACTTGTAAAAACAATGGCTTCATATTTACCTTAACAGAAATATATTTCCTTGTCACACTGTAGATTAGCATACACTGATCTCAAAGAGTTTACACTATTCAGAAGATTTTGCTTATAGGTAATTTATCAAAAGTTATACGTTTATAAGTTGATAAACGTTTTGTAATTATTCAAATATTTCAGACCCTTTGTTTTCATAGGCTGATGAATCGGATTCTTGGGCTACTGTTTCATTTTCGGCTGAATCAGACTCTATCACTAGTGGATATGTTAAGTCATCATTTTTACTAGCTGACGAAGATGTTGCCGTTTCTTCAACGATTTGTTTTATGTTTTCGTCTGGTGCAGCTGCAACAGCATTATTTTGACTCACTGATTCTGGTTTTGTTGCTTCTTCTTCAGCAACTGGTTTAATATTCTCAGTTGATAGCGATGAACCAGGATCTGGAGTTTGGTTTGACGAAACTACTGTGGGTTCTGGCGAATCTTGATTAGATGGTTCAACTTCTTTCTGGGTAGATTTCTTCTCTCGTGGTTTCCACTGAAACTTATAGAGTAGGCAAGGGATAATTATAATTGCCGCTGCGCAAGCTGCTGCAATAAGCCCTGTTTCTGCATTAGATTTATACTTTTCCCACGTGGACAAAACAACCGGAATAGGCTTAACTTCCATATGCACAAAAGAAGCTTTGTTAAAAGTTTTCTGGTTTCCAGCAATACATATATATAGACCACCATCGGTGATATCTACTGGTGAAAATATAAGGGAAGCATTTTCGTGGATAATGTGAAATGATTTGTCTTTTGCCGTTTTATCAACAACATTCCCATCTGGAAAGACCCAGTGAAAATCTTCTTTGGGTTCCTCAAACGCCAAACATGGAAGCTCAGCAGTTTCATTTACAACAAGCTTGATTTCTTTAACTTTGGAGTTCGCCAGAAAAGGAACACAGTGAGTACCACAAAATAGCAGAAACGATGCTATTGAGAAGGTAAAGAAACTATAATCCATGGTTTCGTTTCACCGAAAAAAGGTACCTATTTAATGTAAGAAAAAACTATAAGTATTTAAGATTCAAAACTAAGGTAAGTGAAAGAAAGAACAGCTATGTTATATATATACAGCTTGTGTAAATTAACAAAGGCTGATTATTATTACCTTCTAGAGATATATATTTGGTATCGCTTGACAATAAAAAAGTAACACTAGAGTGAACATAACCTAAAAATGTTTAGCAAAATGTATACTCAGTATTTTTTAACATTGAAAACATAAAAAGCTTGTGTTTTGGGGTATATAAGTCATAGATCATTTAAAAAGTGTCATTGCATTCAATGCTTTGGTGAAATTCCGCTAGTTGATTCTGATTCTTTGGAAGATAAACATTTTGTTAAAGAGCTTATTCTATCTCATAACGTAAGATATTCATTGAAGAATGTATTATTACATGGCAAGCAAAGGTTTTATAAATCTATAAATCATACATATTCTACTGTACAAATACTGTATTTGAACTACAGTGCCTTGCAAAAATATTCACCCCTACCAATAATGTCATATTTTGATGAAATACATATAATATAAACAATTTTTTCAATGAACTTGTTATTATTCAAAACGCTAATAATTAAGCTTAACACTGTTATATGTGAAGGAGTTTGAATGTTAATAAGTCAGTACCTCGGGAAGCACCTTTAGTAGCAATTACTGCTGTGAGTCTTTTTGGATAGATCTCTACCAGTTTTGTACAATGGAATGGTGTAAGTTTTGCCCATTCTTCTTTACAAGTTCGTTGGGGATCGTTGATGGACTGCAATCTTCAAGTCTTGCCATACATTTTCTATTGGATTCAAGTCAGGACTTAGATTGGGTCACACCAAAACATTTACTTTCTTCTTCTGAAACCACTCCAGTGCAGCTTTGGCCTTGTGCTTCTGGTCAATGATCTGCTGAAATATGGATTTTCGACCCAGTTTTAGATTCTTGGCTGACTGAAGCAGGTTTTCCTTTAGGATTCGCATGTACTTTATACCATTCCTCTTCCCCTCAATCCTGACAATCTTGTCAGTCCCTGCTGATGAGAAGCATCCCCATAACATAATGCTGCCACCACCATGTTTGATAGTTGGGATGGTGTTGACTGGATGATGTGCTGTGTTAGACTTGTGTCAGATGTAACGCTTTGAATTTAGACCAAAAAAAAAAGCTAAATTTTTTTCTGTCTGACCACAAAACCTTCTGACACATGTCTGCAGTATCATTTACATGCTTTGTCGCAAACTTCATACGAGATTTAAGATGATTCTATTTCAGTATTGGCTTCTATCTTGCCACTCGCCCATACAAGCCAGCTTTGTGTAGGGACTGGGATACTGTCGATGTATCAACACTGACTTTCATCTCAGACATGGAACTTTGCAAATCTTTCAAAGTCACTGTTGGCATCCCTAACTGGTATCATGCTTGCTCGGCTTCTTAGCTTAGAAGGGTGGCTTGATTTGGATAGTGACTGGGTGGTATGAAGCACATTCCACTTCTTAAAGGACTTCACCGTACTTAAAGGGATAATCAGCGACTTTGAAATTTTCTTCTAACTTTCTCCTGATCTGTGCTTCTCTACGATTTTATCCCGACTTGTTTGTAAAGCTCCTTGGTCTTCGTGGTTGGTTTGTCGTATCACTATGTGAGTTGTGGCTTGAAAAGATGCATTCACTCCGAAGTCAAGTTAAACCACTTTGATTACACTCAAACAGAGACCATTACACTAATTTTGTGACCTTTCAAACTAATCTTTTGCAACTGAGATGAATTAGGGTTTCCATAGCAAAGGGGTTGAATACTTATGTAATTGAGAATATTCTAATTTTCTTTGAAAATCTAACTTACTTACATAATATCAGCGTTTTTTTAGATTTCTAAGTTTGGAGTAGATTGTGTAGATTCTAAATATAAAGTCCCATTTGAAATTTCATGATTGCAAGCTCAGAAGGCAACAAAATGTACAAAATTTACAGGGGGATGAATACTTTTGCAAGGTACTTATGTCAAGTACTTAAACTATAATCATTACTCATTTTTATTCATCAAATCAGACTAAAAACGTAAAGTAATACTAACTAAAGAACAGAAAATTTGCTATATATATTCTGAATACCACACCTTTCAAAATAATCTACAAATCCTTCGCTACTAACGTGAGTGAAATCTGACCATGATTTTACTACTGTGTATATAATCTACAGTAATAAAACGAAGCTCAGATTGCAGTCACATTAGTAGTGAGGGAGCTCTACGTCATTCAGTATTTTTGTTATTATAATGAGAAACAAACTTACTGCCTATCATAACCTCAAATCATGTTTTTGAGTAATTTACATTAATTTCACTGACATTTTAGTGATGACCCAGTCAAAGATGATTAAATAATATACAAAGTCATCTAAAGATATTTAAAGTAAGTCATTTGGTGAATATAAACTTGCATGTGCAATAAAGCTCTCAAATTTCTCAGTTTAAAAACTGTCCGATTTAACGATTGAAACTACTCTGATTGTAACTTCGTCGCGGGTTCCTTATAACAAGGTTCTCAGGTTTTCAGTTCGTTCACCACCTATCTACCCGAGTTTTTTTAATTACCCTCTGTTAATCGCCACTTCTTAGAACACTTGTACCAGTTCTATACTTGACTTAATGAAGGTGGATCTTATCCCTCTCCGGTTTCAGCACAATGTATTATACCTTTTAAGCTAGATGCCACAAATCTGAGATAGTTAAAGAGTACGGGTCTCTTACTTTCATTATATTGATAAAAAATATTTATTATCAACAGAACAGTTGTAAAAGCTGGTTCAAAAGTTAAAAGGCTGCATTCATTCAGTTATCAATATAAGATAAAAGGAATAATATAGGACTGGTAAGATTTTACATTTTTTCTTGAAAATAATGTGTCACATAATTACTGTCGTTTAATTAAAGTCTACTGAAAGATATTTTTAAACCGAATGT